GGCTATATCTGCCCACATTAACACTTAGGAGTTTATCCTACTGATAGATGTGCATGTGCACTCAAAGGTCTGTGTATGGGGTTAGTAAGAGCTGAGCATTATCTCCAAGGATAGAAGATTGGAGAGAACCTTGGTCCACTGACAGGACTGGGGAAATGCATTATGTTGTATGCTTTTTTTTTCTATTAAAACGTTTTTTAAGTTTATTTATTTTGTGAGAGAGAAAGCACGCTGGGGAGGGCCAAAGAGAAGGAGAGACAGAATCCCAAGCAGGCCCTGTACCATCAGCACAGAGCCCGATGTGAGGCTTGAACCCACACACTGTGAGATCATGACCTGAGCTTAGGTCAAGAGTCAGAGGCTTAACCTACTATGCCACCCAGGCGTCCTGCATTATGTTGTATTATTTTTTTTTTTACATTTTATTTTTTTATTTTTTTTTAACGTTTATTTATTTTTGAGACAGAGAGAGACAGAGCATGAACAGGGGAGGGGCAGAGAGAGAGAGGGAACACAGAATCTGAAACAGGCTCCAGGCTCTGAGCAGTCAGCACAGAGTCCGACACGGGGCTCGAACTCACGGACCGCGAGATCATGACCTGAGCCAAAGTCAGACGCTTAACCGACCAAGCCACCCAGGCGCTGGTACATTTTATTTTATTATTTTTTTGAGAGAGCAACATTAAAAAAATCTTTTTTATAATTTACATCCAAATTAGTTAGCATATAGTGCAACAATGATTTCAGTAGTAGATTCCTTAGTGCCCCTTACCCATTTAGCCCATCCCCCCCCCCACAACCCCCCCAGAAACCCTAGTTTGTTCTCCATATTTATGAGTCTCTTGTGTTTTGTCCCCTCCCTGTTTTTAAATTATTTTTGTTTCCCTTCCCTTATGTTCATCTGTTTTGTCTCTTAAAGTCCTCATATGAGTGAAGTCATATGATATTTGTCTTTCTCTGACTAATTTCACTTAGCATAATATCCTCCAATTCATCCATGCAGTTGCAAATGGCAAGATTTCATTCTTTTTTGTTGTCAAGTTATACTCCATTGTATATATATATACCACATCTTCTTTATCCATTCATCCATCGATGGACATTTGGGCTCTTTCCATTATTTGGCTATTGTTGATAGTGCTGCTATAAACATTGGGGTGTATGTGTCCCTTCGAAACAGCACACCTGTATCCCTTGGATAAATACCTAGTAGAGCAATTACTGGGTTGTAAGGTAGTTATATTTTTAGTTTTTTCAGGAATGTCCATACTGTTTTCCAGAGTGGCTGCGCCAGTTTGCATTCCCACCAGCAGTGCACAAGATAACCTCTTTCTCCGCATCCTCGCCAACATCCGTTGCTGCCTGAGTTGTTAATGTTACCCATTCTGACAGGTGTGAGGTGGTATCTCTTTGTGGTTTTGATTTGTATTTCCCTGATGATGAGTGAAGTCAAGCATTTTTTCATGCGTCAGTTGGCCATCAGGATGTCTTCTTTGGAGAAGTGTCTATTCATGTCTTTTGCCCATTTCTTCACTGTATTATTTGTTTTTGGGTGTTGAGTTTGATAAGTTCTCTATAGATCTTGGATACTAAATCTATATGTCGTTTATCTGATATGTCGTTTGCAAATAATCTTCTCCCATTCCGTCAGTTGCCTTTTAGTTTTGCTGATTTTTTCCTTCGCTGTGCAGAAGCTTTTTATTTTGATGAGGTCCTAGTAGGTCATTTTTGCTTTTGTTTCCCTTGCCTCCGGAGATGTATTGAGTAAGGAGTTGCTGTGGCTAAGATCAAAGAGGTTTTTGCCTGCTTTCTCCTCGAGGATTTTGATGGCTTCCTGTGTTCCATTTAGGTCTTTCATCCATTTTGAGGTTATTTTTGTGTATGGTGTAAAAAAGTGGTCCAGGTTCATTTTTCTGCATGTCGCTGTCCAGTTTGCTGAAGAGACTGTCTTTATTCCATTGGATATTCTTTCCTGCTTTGTCAAAGATGAGTTGGCCATCTGTTTGTGGGTCCATTTCTGGGTTCTCTATTCTGTTGCATTGATCTGAGTGTCTGTTTTTGTGCCAGTACCATACTGTCTTGATGATTACAGCTTTGTGGTATAGCTTGAAGTCCGGGATTGTGATGCCTCCTGCTTTGGTTTTCTTTTTCAAGATTGCTTTGGCTATTCAGGCATTATGTTGTATTCTTACAGTGAAAAACTCTACAGCTCTTCCTGCAGCCACATGGGCAAGAATGGTATTAATACATGAGAAGCAAGGTGTATGAACTGTGGAGAATATGCTATTGTTTCTATGAATGGCAGGAGAGGTTATATATTTTTGTATACATGTATGCATATGCATATGCAATGAATGTTTCTGGAAAGACAGACAAGATTCTGCTAACAGTGGCTGCCTCTCGAGAGTTTCAGAGGGGGCAGAGAGGCAAGAGACATTTTTCATCATATATCCTCATAACATTCTTTAAATTTTTGTCCATGGACATGTATTTTGCTTCTAAAAATTTGCTTAGACATTGAAGAAGGAATGAAAGCCCTCCACAAACAAACTTGCTATAAAAACATTTGATCCACTTATATGAGGTATCTAGAGGAGTCAGATTCATGGAGGCAGAAAGTAGATGGTAGGGACCAGGGGCTGGGGGAGGGGGAGGGGGAGGTGTTTATTGGGTACAGAGTTTTAATTTTCAAGACAAAAAAGTTCTGGAAGCTGGTTGCACAACAATGTGAATATACTTTACACTACTGAACTGCACACTTAAAATGGTTAAAATGATAAAATTTATGTTATGCGTATTTTATCCCAATAATATAAAAAAAACTAAATATATTTGAAATAACACAAGTATGTTCAAAACAAAGAACATCCTCCAGAAACCAATGCCCACTTCAACATGATAACCAGGATTTATAGTTTGGCCTTATATCCTTCAGATTTTTTGTCATGTATATGAAATGCTTTCTATGATTTGACTCCTACTATAACTTCATTTAACACTTTGGAATCAGAAAAAAAGTAGGTTTATGAATATGTGATTCTACGTAGATCATCCCCATGGATGTTTGATGCATCACATACACAGACATAGTTTCATTTTGAAAAAAAAAATTGGTTTTTAATTACATTTTGCATTTTAGTGTGTTTCATCCACAGAGTATTTTTCCATATTCATTAAAATGTTCATAATCACGATTTTAATAAGTGTGCAATGTCTTGTCATATAGTGTTGGCAAATAATGTTATACAATTCTGAGTTACCTAAGCGACATGAGGAAGTATTCTTTGTCAGCCAAATGAAGTAAGTAAAAGTACTTGCCTCACAGGCTTGTGGTGTGAATGAATGAAGCTGATGCATTAAATATCTTATCACAGGCCCTGGCACCTAGTAAGCACTTGATTATTGTCATTACTATGTGATCAAGTGGTATTTGATTTTTTAGAACTTGAGAGAGTGCCACAATGGACATCTTTGTATGGGAGTGCTGTGCTTGTTTTCTCTTTTTAAACGAGTTATGGTGAAGAAGGATTGAGGGCATGAGGAGGAACAGAGGAGTGAAGGAGGAAGCAGGGAAGGAGGGATGGAGGAAAGGAAGGGAGGGAAAGAGGAAGGGAGGGAGGGAGGAGTTATTTTACAGCTATGAGATGTAAAGTTTCCTGGAAGGTCAGCCAATGCTCTTCATTTTTGGACCAGAAAAGGTGATGCTCAGAGAGGATCAGTCTGCCTAGGTGACCCAGTGGTCCCCTTGCCCCACCCCATGCTCATTCTATCATCCTGGTTTGTAGGGTTATCTTCAGATGATGGATGAAGCAGGAAACAGAAGCCCAAAGACATTCACGAACTCAGAAGTCAAAGCGGGGGCTTCCACACCTCCTGTCTCCAGTCAGATCCTCGAAGAATCACCCTTTTTTTCCTGAATAACCAAAAGATGCTTTGCTCCCAAAGAAGACTCTCAGAAACCAGTGCATCCACAGCTGAGAAGCTTGGCTGAAGGAAGCCTCAACAAGATAAAGCTTCTGGCCAGGGAACTTGAAGCTGTCATTCTCCCCGAAGACCTCAGATAATCAGGGCTCATTATCTACTCTCTGTGCCAATCTGGGGGCAGTGCAGACACAGCCCTTCCATTCTATCCACCCCCTCTCTCCAGCTGAAGAGGAGTATACCTCTCCACGGTGCAAAATTCCAGTTCCATGGCAAGGGTGCTTGATGTGGGCCAGGGTGTGAACAAACGGGTCCTCTTCTACTCCTCTGGTGAGAGCACAAACTGATGCAGCCATGTTGGTGGGCAAGCAATTAGACAGGTTAAAACAAAAACTTGCCTTCCCTGATGCAAATCAAACCCACAGTGAGATACCATCTCACACATGCTATGTTGGTTATCATCCAAAAAGGGGGAAAAAGAAGAGATAACAAATGCTAGAGAAGATACGGAGATGACGATGATGGTGATGATGATGATGATGATGGTGATGATGATGATGATGATGATGATGATGGTGGTGATGATGGTGGTGGTGATGATGATGGTGGTGATGATGGTGGTGGTGATGATGATGGTGGTGGTCATGGTGATTGATGATGATGATGATCATAATAGTGGTGGTGATGATGGTGATCGTGATGATGATGGTGATGGTGACAGTGGTGGTGATGATGAAAGTGACGATAGTGGTGGTGATGGTGATGGTGGTGGTGATGACGGTGGTGGTGGTGATCATGATGGTGGGGATGATGGTGGGGATAGTGATGATGATGATGATGGTGGTGGTGATGATGATGGTGATGATGATGGTGGCG